AAATTGTAGAATTGTATTGTTGGGTGCCGAGCTGCACTTCCTCAGTGTCTTTGAGATTTTACTGGATTTAATAGCATAGATGCACACACACACACACACACACACACACACACACACACACACACACACCATGTCCTTACACACTATTCTCTCTCACTCCCAACTTTATCATACGTCTGCCTCTCTAACACATACACACAAACACTTATTCAAAAACGCACACCCACATACTGTACTGGCCCTAGCCCCAGTGCTCTGTGTCAGCCCAGGGTCTCTGCTGTCTTCACCATCTCCAGATTACATCAAGCTATTCAATCTGTAAATGACTTCCACCACAAAGCACACCCAACACGCACTTTGGGAAATGAGCTACCTAACTCAAAATGACCCTGCCTATATGTGGTTGTGTGTGTGTGTGTGTGTGTGTGTGTGTGTGTGTGTGTGTGTGTGTGTGTGTGTGTCCCGTATCACCTCACAGTGTCACTTGTTAAATGAATATCAAGGTTGCATGAGAAATAATTATTCTTGACGTTCATTCATAATACTCTCATCAACATTGACCACTTAATCACCTGAACTCTTAAGTCTTAACCAGCTTTGAACTGATCACTTTTTTACATGACAGTTTGTATCCATAAGTGGTGTGTGTAGGTGTGTGTCTGTGTGTGTGTGCGATATTTGAATTTTGTGCAATTGTCTGTCACTGTGTGTTCATTTGTGGATGTATCAACAAAATATTTATTGTATAGAGAGCTGTAATTCGAACATGTCGACGTGTGTGTGCGTGTGTCTGTGTGTGTATATTTCCATTTGTGTGTGTGCCAGTTACCTTCATCCTCACTCTGAAATGCTGACAGACTGAACTGTTTCCAAATCAGATGCAGTGCTCAACAGCAGCAAGCCTTTGTTTTTGCATGCAGCAATTCCATTACCAGCCGCTTTCATTATTTTAGCATGGTGTTTGTGCATGTGCGCGCGTTTGTGTGTACTCTGTTCTAAATGTGATGAAAGAAATCTTCTGCTCAAGTCAAAGTCAGGTTATCTTTCCCCACAAGACAGTTCAAAGCACACACGCGCACACACAGTGACCATATGAATATTGTTCTTTCACATACTCGGGGAACACTCAAACCTGACCACACATGCATTCTAATATACATATGTCTTTGCATGAGCACACACTGCCGCTCTGCATGTGCACATGCACACACATGCACTTTGTCATGACTTCCTGGAGTTCATCCATCTAAAAGCTTTTTTCCATCCTCATGCCGAGAACATTTAAAATGCCTGGCCAGTTAGGACAGTTAAAAAGGATTAAGTGATCTCATCTTTTGTGCCACTCAGGTTTATCTGAATGCTGTAAAAAATAAAACCCAAAACTTAAATCTAAAACTTTTGTTTCAGATCACATGGTCACCGCCGCTTATTCCCAATGGAGAAATTCACGGCTATGAGCTCCGTCTCCCAGAACCCCGTATCTCTCATGTCGCTGGTGATGCATCTGAGCTCAACGTCACCGTAACGGACCTCGTTCCGTACACGAATTACAGCATCACTGTGTTGGCGTGTTCGAAGGGTGGAGGACATGTTGGAGGATGCACAGAAAGCCTGCCGACTCCAGCTACCACATTACCCACGAGCCCTGAAGGCCTTGCACCGCTGTCAGTGGTGGCAGTCAGCGAGTCTTTTCTGGCCATTTCCTGGCAACCACCAAGCAGGCCCAATGGACCGAACATAAGGTAAAATGAATATTACACCCAAACCACACCAAGAAGTCAAGAAGGCTAAATTTCAATGAACAAGACTTATAGCAGCTTGCAGCAGGTGTAGGGGGCATTTCATATTAGTGCTTACTGTAAGTTAAAAGTACATAGGCAAGAGAATGATGTGCAAAGATGCACCATCACAACCAAATGTCTTTATATGTACATTTTGTAACATGCAGTTGACCAGTATTATCACAACCGATTTGAAAGACACATTGAGTTTGTCATACAGTAACAGGTTGCACATTTATTATAATCACGTGACTTTTCCCAATAATTTAATAGTCTAACACACTGATTTTGAGTTTCAATATTTTTTACATAAGATTTTGTCAGAATTCTCCACCCATTATCTATAAAACACTTAATCCTCACCAAGGTCGAAAGGGGGCTGGAGTCTATCCCACCTGACTTAGGGCGAAGACAGTCTATCACAGGGCTACACTTAGAGACAGACAACCAGGCAGACTCACATTCACACCTATGGACAATTTAGAATCACCAATTAACCTCAACATGTTTTTGGAGCACCTGATGAGAACCTACGCTGCACAGGAAGAATATGCAAACTCCACACAGAGAGACCCCAGGCTGGGAATCGAACCCAGGTCCTTCCTGTCGCCCTTGTCAGAATTCTGTTTTGCTGAATTGCATGTGAAACAAGTGTCGATACCTGTCAAGGAAAATTATTTTTGCTTCGGCTCATTGTCCCATTTGCACTCTGAATCTGTGTTCATACAAACTAGTACATAAAGAACAAAATGGCATCAGCAGAGGAGGAATGGAAACACTTTTGTTTTTCTGAATTCAAGACTAAAAACTATGACCTTATAATATGCATAGTGTCCAGGCAGGGCAAGATTTACCTGTTCTAGGGTAGAACAATCTGTCAAAGCGGTTATTTAGAAAACGCCATCATTTCTGACCCTCGACATAAGAATGTCACTGGTGTTTGTTGCACATGAGTTCATCAGCAAGTCTCCTGTGGATCATGCATGTATAACTGACTTCAAAATGCACAGAAACCAGCACAGTGTGTGTCTTTAATGCACCAGTTAGGAGTAGTGTTCCTAATTTTGTTGTATGCTGCATAATACAATGACAATAAAGACTTTCTTAAAAAAAATTTAATTTAAAAAGTAGTAACAAGAAAGTACAAGCAGATACACATCCATAATACAATACTAATTATAACGAGCTGATATGTGAACTCCAGTCTGTGTAACCATCATAACTTTACATAATCTAAATCAATGCTGTGCCATTGTTCATTAGCTATAGTGCAGTGATAGAAACCAGACACACATGACTAAAATCTGCACGTTGATATCGAGAGACGCCTTCATGAGACGTTCAGTTGCTGCTGAAAAACTTCCAACAAACAAGCAGAAGCACGCTAACAAGCTGCTAACATGAGTGCCCTGGTAATGAGCTAAGTGTTGTGCATTTTTTAATCAGTGTTTTCTCAGTCCTAATGCACATTCTGGTCCATTTTGTTCCGTCCTGTTCTACTGTGTTGGCGATTAGGCCTAAAATAAAGGTCCATTTTCCTAGCAGGCGATTAAAATGCATGAGCCCGTCTCTCTGTTCTGCTCTGCTCAGCTCTGTGTGTTTGTCTAAGTGGGTTGGTTAAAAGGCGGCATTAAGCCCTTCTCTTCTGATTACAGCAGAAATTAGCATCACTGTGGGGAGAGGAAAACACAAACCCCGCAGAAAAAAAACAACGGATAGAGGGGCGTAGGGAGGGAGGGAGGGATGAGATACTGTGAAAGCAGAAGAATAGAGATGATGAAAAACAGCAGAAGAGGAGGAAATGAGTGATAAGGATAAGAGTCAATTGAAAATCGTGTGTGTAAGTGTGTGTGTGTCTACGTGCATGCATGCGGGTAAGGTGGGTACAGTATGCGTCTCTGCGCTCAGTTTGCCCAATTTATGTACATGTGTTGCGTGTTAATGGATTCCTAAATATCCAGCCATGTGTGTTTCCCTTTATTCAAATCTCCCCTTCAGATACAAGTTGCTCAGACGTAAAACCCACCAGCCCCTGGCCATCGCCGCGGTCCCCACATTAACAGCCACGTCCCCACCCCCCTCTGAAGATCTCCATCGCTGGCTTCATGTTTACTCCGGCACCAAATTGTTCTACCAAGATAAAGGCCTAAGCAGGTGAGATTACTGAAATGAGCTCTAGAGCAAACGGCAGTGCCGCGGCAAACCGTGTGTGCAGAGCTGATCGGCGAGCTGCTGCTGATGCCGATCTTTTAATACCGCTCAAAGATACATTAAGCAAATATCCCAAAGAATTAAATTGTTTTTCACACAGCGTCCCCTAATCTCAGTTTGGCACTTGGTGGAAGCACTTTTTTTTCCTCTATGCTTGCTAAACAGCTCTGGGTTTGAGTCTCTACTGTGCTTTATTCAAGGAGTAAACTGAGAAACTTTTGAATGTGTCAGCACTTTTCACTTTGCAGGATTATTTTAGATCCATGAACAAGGACAAGTGATTGTTGTTTGTTTATTAGAACTTGCCATTTTTAGCAGAAGTAACTGTAACTGTAAGTGTAATAACAAATAAAGACAGCCATGACTAAAATTGTGACCCCACTCATCCCGATTAAAGAGTTTCATTATCGTCTGTTATTTCTCTGACTTCCACCAATGGAGGATTGACTTACAGTTAAAATCAGCACTGGGGAACGTGTCTGTATGACCAGTTATTTTTGTCTTTTCTCAAGTTCTTTTTGAATGATAGACAAGAGAAACTTCTTTTTCAGAGTCTGGGAGATGTTTTCTACAAGTGCTAGTCATGTCTTTTAACACAAGGAAAAGTAAAGCAGTCATACTGTCTATCAACAGATTCACAGAGTACCAGTACCAGTTGGTGGTTCATAATGACGTGGGCTACTCCTCGGGGGAGATTGTTACTGCGCTGACCATGGCCGGGGTTCCCCTCCACCCTCCGTCTCTGTCTGCCCACGCTATCAATCATACTGCTATACAAGTTAACTGGACACAACCATGTGAGATTGCCCACTCTCCTAAACACACACACACACTCAAACACACACTCAAACACACTGTCCAGCAAAGGTCTTTATTCTTCAAGCTCTGCTATGAACAAGGTCAGAAGGACACACTCACACACACACACAAGGTGCTCAAACAGGCAAATACTTGTAAATATTGTATTGTCATTTGTAAACTACCACAAAGTGGAAACAGATTTAAAATGATGTGTTTATCTTGACTGCTCTCTCACGCTTCTCCCTTTCTCTTCATGTCTTTCTCAGCTTTGCAAGACCTGCAGGGAGAGGTGGAATCTTACCTGGTCACAGTAGAGTCTCCCCTGCCAAGTGTGATTTTGGCTTTTGGACCTGAGATCAAGTCCACAGTGATAAGTGACCTTTGGCCCAGTACCACATATCTGGTGTCATTACAGGTGTCCAACGGAGCCCATAATACCACTAAGGCAATAGTTAATGCCACCACTGCAGATGGAGGTATGTGTGTATTTGATTGTGGGGTTTTTTCGCCAGCAATTGATTTTTTTTTTTCCATTTTTCTCATTCCTGTACATCTGTGAGGGTGCGATTGTGTGCATATGAACTATATATATATATATATAAATATATATATATATATAAAACCCACATGTGCCAAATACAGTATGTCAATTCAGCGCATTCAAGAGAGGTCTCTGGGTAAACATACATTTCTCTGCAACTCTGTGTTTCACGGGAGATGTTAAACACATCATGTAGTGAGGCATGAAATCAATACAAAGTGTGTGTGCGGCAGATTTAAGGTGTTGTAAAATGCTTGTTGGCACCACGCGCAGACAAACTGCACACACACTGTCTGTACACACAAGCACAAGTATTCTACCTGTCAAGCAAGACAGCAAATGTGGCTGAAAGGACGATACTTTACAATACAGTTACAATGCAATTACTCTGAGTTTTCCAAAAAGTTAGATTAGATTTTTTACAATAATAATTAGAAATGCAATGACACCATTACAATAGACTTCTCTAATACGGGCAGACATTAGCTGTCTGCATAATCTCCTAATATTTATAAAATTAACAAATGGCACTCCTTATCAGTATGTATAATCTGGAGCCTTGAGAGAGTGTATTCAATGGAATATGAATTCATCAGTTCTTAGATCTACTGGTATTTTCCTTTTCAATCAGGGTCAACTTTTACTATCTTTAGCTGCACAAGCCATCCAACTGTCATCACTGCTTTTCTTTCCACGTCCTCTTCAACTCTCAGCCCAGTCTCTTAGCCTTTAAGAGTTGTCTTTCAAATCACTCCATGTAATCATATGTCAGAGGCCACTTACTCTGTCTGTTGTTTTATTTCTGTCTCCGGTTACCTCTCAGTCCCCCTCTCTTGCCATCTCTCTGTTTCTTTTCTCCGCTCACAGTTCTCTTTCTGTCTCAGTATAATCATATGTCAGAGGCCTCTTTCTTTCTCTCTAATCTGAGCAGTATAATAAAAAGTGCATTAAAAACATTAGAAAATCATTAGGTGCTAAAGGCAAAGCATGGCTCGTTTAACTGAGAGGGCTCTGGAGGTAATTTCATTATTTTACAGCTATAAGAGTGCACACACACACACACACACACACACACACACACACACCCACCAAGGAGGCCTAATATATTTTAACTAATGCAGCTCAACCCTACCAACCATCCTAACATGGCCTGCAATCTATAGGGCAATGCTAACATCAGGACTAATTGGCAAGAAAAATGTGTGCACGCGTCTGTGTGTGTGTGTATGAGTGAAAGGGGCTCAGTGTTCAGTATTGCGTTGATAATGCCATCCTGCAGTAAATGAAATGTAGAGCGGTAGGTTGGCTTTAGGTAAGTGCATTGGCAGCAAATGAATTGGGTTAACTTCTCGTACCTGAGTGCATTTTCACTTAGAATAATAGATGGTGTCTGTGTGATTACCCTTCTCTCACACACACCACAAAACACAGCTAAATTAACAGTATTCTCTGCTCTTCCTGCCTCTCTTTGATTTTTGATTTTGCTCTCTGGCTCTGTATCTGCTTCTTTCACAGATTATCATATACTTGTGTTTCGTTTCCTTCGCTCTCTCTTTGTAATTCACTCCTTCCTTTTGTCTCGGTATCTGTAACACATTTGCAGGTTACCATGTTATATTTATCACTGTAGGAGTTCTGGTGTAGTGTCCTCTGTTGTCGTGCTGGATGAGAGTTTCTTAGAAGAGTGAACTGAGGGAATAACAGGAACTAAGGGAATTAGATGGAAGGGACGGTGAAAGAGAGAAAATATAATAACACAAAACAGAAAGATTACCATTGAGAGAAAGAGAGCCGGTGAGATGATCATACAGAATCTATTATTCTCAGTGAAAATGCTCTCAGCTAAGAGAAGTTAACCCAATTCATTTGCAGCCAATGCACTTACCTAAACCCAGCCTACTGCTTTACATTTCATTTACTGCTAGATAGCATTATCAACGCAATACTGCACACACACGGACACACAGGTGGTCTTCCTCAGGCACGTACATGCAGCCTCACAGTCGTCCTGTCTTGTATGAACTCTAACATGGGTTTCTAAACTTTCTGTCTCTCTGTCCTGCTGTACATACAAGCTCACTGTCCGTCTCTCTTTCTGATTTAAAGTGCTGCTTGATTTCTGAGACGTCTGTCAGTTTGTGTCTCTGCACATTGAAATGTATGCGGCTACTAAACTAATTTTGAAATATGCTTCAACGATAATAACATATATACCCAAACTGACACGTCGCTTTAAAATATCATTAATTCACACTGGGGCACATGTAGTTTTAACTGTTTTTACTGACTTTTACGAGCCTGGCCTGATGATCGCTAATGTGGCACTGTTTTAGGACATTTTAAAGTTTTAGTGGTGTCATTTTTGTGTAAAACATTTACAAGCACCGTCGAAGCAGTCATCAAATGAACGCGGTGAGAAAATGTGCCTTGGGAAATCGTAACACCGATACCCTCTTGCAGCTTTGTTCTTCCTGATATCAAAGATGTGTGTGTTTCAAGATGACTGTGTTTCAAATGTTGTACTTAAAAATTTAGACGAGTTGTGACTCTCTTGTGTGCCACACTCAGCACCAGAGGGGATGTCTGCCCCGGAGCTGGTTCCTGTAAACAGCAGCACAGCACGTGTGCTCTGGTTGCCTCCTCTTCGACCCAATGGAGCAGTCACTGGTTACAACATCTACGTTAATGACCGTTTCCATGGCAATGTGGACAACAGCTCAGGGTCCTACCTGCTGGGGGACCTACTGCCGTTTACTGTCTACGACATACAGGTACAAACACAAACAAAGACAGACGTGGAAACACAGACGTGCAAATACGTGCTTCATGCTTTTGTTTGGTGTGATGCATGTACATTTCAGGTGGAGGTGTGCACAGTGTATGCGTGTGTTCGGAGTAACGTTACCAAAACAACGACTGTAGAGGACCTTCCTGCTGACTTCGCCACGCCGCATGTACAAGTGATCAGTCCCAGGTAATATAGAGATGTGGTGCAATTATTTTTTCAGTTATTCTCCCCTTTTTTGCATATTTTTGCTAGTGTTTGAAGTGACAAAAAGTGCCAAAATCGCCCCTGTTATACATGCAATATCAGCAAATCATGAGGCAGCCTTTGACGTATAAACGTCTACAGGGAAGATAATTGCAGATCTTCTAAACATAAATGTATTTAATAGAAGGTACGATTATTGCAGTAATAAATAATTGACCATGTACAGTAGCTTTAGTGTGTAGCACAATGAAGCCATCAGGTTGGGATGTCCTCAGTTCCTTGTATTCCCATCCCTGACCTCCCCGAGGCCCTAAACAAAACTCTGCTAAGAGGCCCTCCCACCTTACCTCTGAGTCCTGTAAACCATTTGCCATTGCCAAAAAGTCAGACCTGACACCTCAACACTCCTATTACAATCCTTCCTCCTTCACAACCGTTTGGTCCATCTGCCATCTAAGAAGAAGCGGACTTATCCAGAACAGAATGCCATACAAACAGTTTTTGCTTTATAGAATACTTTTTATAGAATCTTCAGAAAAGAGAATATTAACATTGACATGATTACGTCGTTGTAGAAAATACAACACTGAGTTTTGACTCTGCTGCCAATTAGTCTAGTTTTCTTAATAGCACACAAGAGTTGTAACTAAACCTTGTGAGACGAGATAATTATTGTCTTGTTGTAAAATTCTGTTCACCTATGAAGGGTGCCATCACATACAGTGGTCGTGGCAGGAAATCATGAATTTCGTATTGTGCATGCACATATGAATGCTTGAATTGTAGACAGTTGTCCTTCACTGATATTACTATTTTAATGAACAGACACATGGTCAGGGCAGAAAAAGCAGCGATGTTACATATGCTACAGGGATATAGGACCATGTCCTAGTTGGTTCCAGCTTTTCTTAAACCCATGAGCTCTGTCTGGAGGCCATGAAGCATCACAGAGGTCTTTGTCATGGTGGCCCACTGCTAGCTCAACCTTCATAATGCTCTCTGCTTGCCAGCATGGAGCTTCCTAGTAGTCCAAGGAAATTCCTTCTTGGGTCCCTACAGTACTAAAGAGTAAGAGGTTCCACCTGGTGGCTTAACCAGGTACTGCAGCTAATCTACAGTACGCTTTCTGACATGCATGTAGAGAATACAGGTCTTCGCTGTCTTTTGGAGCTTGTGGAACAACAGTATGCTCTGTCCTCTTAACACTACTGCCTAGCTGGAGCTTTACAACATGTCATTAAGGAACAGTTTGGATGCATTTCAGAACTATCAATCGTTAAACAAATACTAGATTGATTTTTAATAACTATACTTTACTTAAAGTGTATTTTCTGGAGAAAGAATGTCGGATTTGGACTTGGTATCGGCAGTTATTATATATTAAATGACTCGGATCAGATTGGAAGCAAAAAAAATGTTTTTGTGTGACCATCTTTCACATAGTTTACATTTGTTGGGATGTAATGTTGGGTGCCTACATTGAAACTGCTGTGACTGAATAGATCTTCTGCTGGGTTGAGGATGTATGTGAAGCACCCACATTTTAGAATTTGTAGCTTCTTTACAGCAACATCTGTATGTGAAGCGCTGTCTACTGTCATCACTACGGCTTTGTATTCTATCTGAATCAGTTTTATGGCCCAAGTATGTGAACACATGCAAGGAATTGGATTGTTTTTGTTGGTTTCAATAAACCTAAACACTTCAAAATCTTCCTTACATATATTATATGAATCATGACACACATGGATAGAAACTGCAACTTGAATCACTGGCAGATGCATACAACCACGAGGCCATAATTCTACTTTTTACAGGCAATTAATGATACTTAAAATGCTGGACTTCATATATATGACCCAAATTGCAATGTTGCAAATGTGCAGTTGCAGAGGAAGTGCTGATTTATGTCTTATTTTCTGTCTAGGAGGCTGTGGAAGTTGTAACTCTGTGTGTTACTCCACAGGTCTTTCCCTTGCCAAAGATGTCAGAGATAAAAAAGATGAAAATCAATACTGTGAAGTGTATAAAGATACACACACCCTGACACTGTAACTCAACTTTGTCAGGCATTACCATGCATGAATGCATGTGTGTGCTTGAAAGTTTGTGTGCGACTGTGTGAGTACAATTGTGTGAAAGGACTGTGAAGGAGAACATCCCCCTACCTATCACTTTCACTTTGTTCTTGTCTTGCCCCCACCCCCTCCCTCCCCCCCCGTCTCTCTGACAGGGTGGTGAGATTAGATTGGTCCCATCCAGGCAAACCCAGTGGGATCATGCTGGGCTACGAGGTTTTAAGACGGACCCTCAGATCGTGTGCCGATGGGTCAACAGGGGGCACATCGTCCCTGGGGGAAGAGTCAGACGTTGCAGGTGGTTTAAGGTTTACATGTTCCTACCTGCAGTGTCCTGTGAGTCACGGTGTTTGTGGGACGTCCTGCTTCAACCCTGACAAACAGGTGATTATGTTTTAGTCCTTTTCTACTCGTATATGTTCTGTCGTCTTTCTTTCTTTGAGCATCTTTTTTTCAATGTTGTGCTGCAGATATGAGCAGTTACAAGTCAAGACAATGTCATTTGTTCTAGAGAGAGGCTGTGTTTTTCTTTTTTTTTCAAGTTACACAACACAACTTCCATTGGATAACTAATAAGGATGTATTGTTCACTTAAGTTTGAATTAAATAACATAACAGGTATTTATGTAATAAGAATTTTGAAAAGGTCTGCTTTGCTTGACTGTGTTTAGTTTGTTTGGTTTTGTGTTGTTGTTTTTTTTATTATTATTTTATTTCTGTGGTAATCCTCTCTTCCCTGCCTTTTTCACCTGAATGTGAGAATCTCTTTTGCCTACAACTCGGCATGAGTAAACATTAAAACCTTTGCTGTACAACAACAACAACGTGCAAAACGAGATACGTGTCCAAGGTCTTGGCTTCAGCTGTTGATCTGAAGGAGAGAATACATCGTTTCTGTGCATAATATCACAAAAAAACAAAACATGGAGACCCACAAACAATGCACACATTTCCTCTTCCGAGCACACGTTTTATATGGGATGCATGATCAGCCTCTCAGTGATTAATTTCTCTAAACAGATTAACTTGTCATCTGCATTCACTTCCATCCTTGTGTCATTGAATGCCGGCCAAGTTGGCACAGCGAACGGCTGTTATACATTTATTCCCACAGTATCCAGTGGCACAGACAGTAACAACATTTAAACTCACATATACAAATACACACATGCATTTGCAAGTGGACACGCTTAAATGGAGAACATGCAAACCCACGTACTAGGGGAGCAGGGGTCTTTATATCAAAAATGCACACACACAGGAACAATAGAGAGAGACCGATACTTTAATGTGCACACTGTTTGTTTTTATAGTGCACATACATATGGTTTCCTTCATTTGTAATGTCCTGGAAAAATAGTATGTTGTAATATCGTCTGAATTTAGTCTTTTACTGTGATGCTCATCAGAGTCCCATTAGGCCGATTTTCAGTGTCTCTGTAATTTAGTAAACTGAGGGCATAAGGGTTCCTTAAGCTAATGTTGTCAAACACACAAATGGGATAGTTGAAAATGAGGAATTTGGGACTTTGTAGGTTAGTTGTGTTTCATCAAAATAAATAAACTTTTGCATCTATTGCAGAATTCAGGATGATACAAACGGGGTTTAGGTGGTAAATATTCCAGCACTGTACCTTTTTTTGTCATTTTAGGAGTCATAAAGTTGCACATTTCACATGATAAAGAAGACAAAGATAACTGCGTTGGTGCTGCAGCTTATTTAAAGAAACAATTATTTTTAAGGAGTGTATTCCTGAAGAGCTATTTTCCTTTGTAAGTCAAATGGCCTCTTCTTTGTCTCTTTTGTTGACGTACTTTCTTGTGTGTCAACCAGGTTTGCTGCCGTGGAGAATTGTTCACAAAGAAGCCACATCATCACTGCTGCGATGGCAGTTACTTGAGTTTGAATAATTCCTCCGACCCAGTGTGCTGCAATGGCAAACTAGTCCCAGCTCTCCCTAACCACCAGTGCTGTGGAGGTTACTATGTTCATGTGAAAAACAGTGAGTTTCTAATTGTTTTCTATATTTACGCTAACACAAGATTTTTTTTTTTTCTGTTCAACTTGACTTGAGTCGACTCTTCTCCGTGTTGTTCAAGTGTTTCCTTCATCTGTCCTTGTCTTTGTAGATGAATACTGCTGTCCTGACCACTTGCAGGGCCGGGTCTCAGTGGGGCTGGGTGACAGCTGCTGTGGGGGGGTTCCTTACTCCGTGACAGGCGGCCAGCTCTGCTGTAGTGGGAGCCTCCATGATGGCTATGGGGTCCAATGCTGTGGAGGCCGGATTGAAGATGATACACTGATGTGTTGCGGTGATGCTGAGAAGGGGGAAGTGCATGTACATACTCCAGGTGAGTGAAAAAACAAACATATAGAAACATCAACTGTTGTTAGATTATTAAACATATTTTAATACAGGTGGAAAAATTCAACAATGCTAAAGGTGAATTAGGTTTTTTTTTTTAAAGCACACATGATAAAGTTTGATAGGCTGCTGAGCCATGAATATAAAAGTTTAGGTTTTTTTTTTTTTTTTAGAGATATCCTTTATTTTAAAGGCAGAAAACTGGTGCAAAAAGGATTTTGTCAAAGTTAATTCCCAGCTGACGTCTTAATGGTTATGGGAGAAAGGAGAGTGAGGAGAACGATAGGGAACGACAGGAGAACAGAGCAAAAGAAAAGGGTTGAGAGGTAGACACATGGTGCAGGAACGTGGGGTCGTTTCCCTTTCTTCCTCCCCTGCAGTGTCCCAAAGCACCCGGATACCATGGCACAGATGGGACTGTGCGTGTGTGTCTATGTGTGGGTGTCAGTGTATGTGTGTGTGTCATTAGACATCTTTGTCATGGCAGATGATGATGAAACACACTCAGGATGGCACCGTTGAGGGCACTGCCAAGCACACAGCAGGAGAAATACACACTCACTCGCTCTCACGCACACACTTACACACATATAGACGTATTACAGGCACCCACACACACACACACAGACGCACACACACACACACGGAGTCAACAGGGTGCCCTCGGCAGGGTTCGCTTAGTGTTGAGTGCCAGAGACAGACACGTGGACTCTATTCATCACACATAAACAATGGCCCCATATGGGCAGGCCTATAGTACTCCATTAGCCTATCTACAAACACACTGACACACACATAAGATCTCTATACCCACAAAGAAATACATGTATGCTGACAAAAAAAGTTACCAGAAAGCAAGTCAGCAGAAAAACAGTCGATGGATTTCAAATATTTTTCGGGCTGTTATCATTTGTCACTCTATTTTCTTGCATTTTTCCCCAAAGTGAGATCTTTTCAAACACTGTCAATAACACTCTCTTTTGGGGAGTTTTTTTTTTTTTCTGTTTGCACTCACTCAGGAGTAATGCTTGATATGTTTTTAGTGTTCTATTCCAGCCCACCACACCGTTGCTCATGTTGTCTCATCCTTCTTTTCTTCTCCTCTGCTATATCCTCTGTTCTCTCTTCCAACTGAGCCGGCTATATGGTCATCCTTCATTTGAGGAGGCCTCCCAAGGAGTGCATATGCTCCACCTCCTCTTCCTCTCCATCTTCCTCTTTTATTTATTTCCCATCTCCTCTTCTCCTTTGTCATCTCATTTTGTCATCTTCTTTTTGTCAACTTGTTTCCCCCACCTCCTCTTGGCCTTCTTCTTCTTCATCTGGCCTCTTGCTCTTCTTTTCTTCTCTTACCACGTTTTCTTTCTCCGTTTCCTGCTCTTCCCCCTCACTCCCTTTATGTGCCCCCTTCCCATCCACTCATCAGTCATTAGCGTTAGCTTCCCCATTGAGAACATATGGTATGATGGATCGTAGAGCTAGCGGCGCTAGCAAGGCTAAGGGCCATTTGCCGGGTGCATTGCGCTGTCGGGGAGCCCTGGGGCCGGCTATGCAACCTCGACCCCACACGTCTGTTTCAAGACAGTCACATGCACACGGCAACACCTATTATAGGATAGGCTACTTAACCTTGGCACCACTCACTCTCATTGCTCCCTCTCACTGTGTCCAGGATTTTGTGTTTTTAATGGAGTAGTGAGAGAAATAGTTTAAGGAAGAAAGGAAAAAAGAATCTGAGAAAGAGACAAAGACAGAAAATAGGAGTAACAGAGGACAACGGATTACATGCAGTTTTATTTAAATAATAGTATACACTGACATTAGAGGCATTGTAAGGAATCCAAGGTAAAATAAAATAAATAAAAAATAAAAAGTGGTAGAAATAAATATAATAAGGCTACAAATTAAGTAAAATTATAAACCAAAAAATACAATGTGTTGTAAGAAAGGAGGCAAAATTACACAGAAATGATGCAGTGTGGAAGATAAGAAAAAGAAGTAAAGAAAAAACAACAACAGCAAAAAAAAAAATAAAATAAATGTGCTTCAGTTAAATGAAACACTGAAGAACACTAGTGAAAGGGGGTAAAAGGAGTAAGAGAGAAAGAAGCAAAGAACAGAAGAGTGGTGAAGAGCTAGATGGAGCAGATTAAAGGAGGAGTGAAGGGTATCCCATTGTGCCCAGCTGATAGACTAGGTTAGGCTGATGTGATTATGGGGTCCCTGAAGTGCGATCTATCACACATTACCGTCCACACTGTCAACAACCATACACACACACTGCAGGGGAACCGCAATGCCAGGAGACAGCCGTCTGGCAACAGATACCCGTACCGGCTTGCGTGCACATGTGCTCACGTGGATAAACACACAAGCATTCACACAAAAACAAAGCAACAATCTTACACAAACACACACTTTTGTTGTGCACGTGTAAACACACAGAATTGCTTGTACATGCACGCTCGTCCAAAAATATGCAACACACGCACTCACTTGTACACACACATGTGCTCCAGACTGGACTATTGGATTTGAAACGGGAAAGCACCCAGTGTAAATCAGGTGAAATAGAATCAGGGTCACAAACGTCACCTCAACCAACCTGTCCCAGACAAACACAACAAATACAGACAAAGCTGAGCCAGTGGACAGTGATTTTCTGAAATGTGCCTTTGGGTTTAATTTGTTACCCTTGTCTTTCTGTGTAGTGAAAGTTGATTTTGTTCCTGTCTGCCCAACACCCACCAGCATGTATAGCTACTTGTCTATGTTGCTCTGTAATCAGCGAGACCACAACTTTCTTTTATTGTTCAAGTGTGTTGCAAATTTGTGTAAATACAGTTACGTTTAATTTGACTTTTTGCCACTTTTATTCACTATTTCAGTGATTTAAAGCTGCTGTGAGCAGGATTTCTGTTTTCCAACTTGAGCAGAAGGAGACACTGTGGCAGAAGAAAACTGAAGGAAGAAAACTTCTGGGTTGACAAGGTTTTTCTAATCCTGATCTTAATTTAATTATAGAAATCTTTGTTTTGCATCACTGCTCAGGTATCTGACAAAACATTTTAATTTTAGCTGAAAATTTAAGGTCCAAAGTCTTTTTTTTTTTTTTTTTTTTTTTAAACAACTTATGTTGTTAGCTACTTGTGATGCACAAGCTGACCCAGAACCTGCAGAATCTGTAGAACCTGCAGGTTAAACCAAAGTCAGGCAGGTACAGATAAGCTTAATGGAAAATATTATCGATTGAGGGTCAAAAAGTGTTCTGGCTAAGTTATAAATAAATGCTGAGTTATACATTTCCTTCCATAGCCAGACTATTCTCTAACACTGACACAACACTGTGTAGAATGGTCTGACTGCATCTTATTAACATTCTGCTACAGGAGAAAGAATATAGATATCTGACTTGTTTGTTCTTTAAATTAGGGATGCACGATATATCGGCGACCACATCAGTATCGGCAGATATGAGTGGTTTTTCCGACATGTCGTTATCGGTCCGATGACCAAATTTAGTCGATGTGAAAACCGCTGATTGTTTAACATGAGCACCTTCATCTCTACATTTGATATTGTTGCTATTTAACAGATGTTTTTACTTAAATGGTCCTGGACTTGAACATTAAATATGTTTAAATATGTTTTACTTTTGTTACATTATAAAGAAGACTATGTAGTCTAATTTAGTACGGGCTTCTTTTGAATAGTTTTCACGTCCTCACAGTGCTTACTTATACTAATTTTTCGGTGTGAACAAAAATTGAACAGTGACATCGGCAATATTGCTTATCAGTGATATCAGAAATCTTAATATCGGTATTGGCCAGAAATTTTAATACTGTGCATCACTACTTTAAATGAAACACAATCATCTTAGTTAAAGCCAAGCAACAGTAACTACTCACAGTAGTGACAGGGGAATAATGGGAAGGTTTGCTTGCAGGGGGGACGAGCACTGTGAGTGAAATTCACTGGAAAAAAAACTACGACTAACAAGGCTGCCTTAATGCACTTTCAAATGTTCATCAAAACTTCAAATTTTCACTATAGTAGGTTGCTGCTTAGAGGTTGTGTTTGTCTCCTGCAGTAACAGGAAAACAAGCGAAAGGGGAGGAGAAAGCTGCCTGAAGTTCAATGACAAGCTTATACCCATTGTCTATAGCTAGTGAGTCAGACAAAGTTTTAAATAACTTACAGTAACTTTGTGTGCAAAAGGCTAGACTATTATTACTAGTCTGCTAAAAAGAAACATAATAATAATAATAATTCCAGACCTGTGCATCAATACTATTTACATAAATGGTGTATTGGGTTGTGAGCCTTGCACAGTGTTACTGTGGCTGAAAAGTGTATCACTGATGGGGGACTACAGGTGCTCCTGTTGGAACTTTAGCTACATGTCTGCTGTTGTCTTTGGGTGCTTCTAAACAGCCAATGTAATGCATTTTTCCCAAACCTACCTGGTCAAGTACACCTACAGTATATGCAATCAGCAACAACCAGCCAAAGTGCTGCTCTGGCCAGTTTTAGTCTTTGGTGTGTTATCGTGATGGGCTTTAATCCTTTCCTCAGTATCCCCAGTTGTTACACAATAACACAAAGTCTCTGTGCTAAATCATTCCCTTCCAAATCTCCTGGTTTGTTTAAACAGCTTTCATTTCACTTTCAAGTAGATTAAATACTGTTTGTTTTTGGACAAGAGAGCCTCCGTTTTCTTGCAGCATTTCCTCCTGTGCTGCAGGTTCAAGACCAACTTTTAAGCTCTTCATTTGCTCCTCTTTTCTTCTCTGTCTGAGTTTGTATGTAAGATGTTTAGCTAAGACTTAGGTGAGATTAGATGGTGTTTAAGGAACGTGTGTGGTGTCTTTGGCCTCCCATTGCTTCCTGACTCTCCCCACCTCGCTGTGCGCTCCACTAATCATTTCCCCTTTACACTTTTTTTTTTTCTTTATAGTGTTCAGTTTTTTAACTCTTCCATCT